GGATTTTATTGTCCAAATAGTTCGGGAAGAGGGGATAATTGACATCCATGTGATGGTTCAACACTCTAAAATATGTCACATGCCTCTGACATTAATTAGCAGCCTTGTATTAGCTTAAGGAGGTAATTGGCAACATTGCGATAGTTCGAAGAATATTTTGCAATTTACCCTAACTACAAAGAAGCCTTTGTCTTCCTCCGCCAAGAAGAAGGAAAAAAATATTGTTCTACAAAGAAACACTAAAGTTAATCCAATGTTCTACAAAGAAACATACATTTTGACACACGTTTTTGTGGCTCTTATTGTATAACTTTTTTCAATGATCCAAACCGTCTATATTTCAATTCATCATTCAAAATATATTCCATAAAGAAACACTAAAGTTAATCCAATAGTTATATGGTTTCCTATTTGAGTACTTTTTGGTAGATATGATATTTGAGAGAAGATATAAAAGATGGATCGCTAGAATACATTACGAAGTGAACCACACAAAAACGCGTGTCAAAATGTGTGTAAAAAATTAGAAGTTTTAATGAAAAACCCACGGTACTGTTCACTTTAACGAAAAATCACATTTTTATACTAAAAAGTCAATCATGGTACTATTCACTTTCCCTTTTATTTTATCTTTATCATTAAAACTCAAACTTTTTAAACCGTTTTTATTAGTTTTTCTTAAAAAATTTCTGCAAATCCTAACTGTATATATATTCGCATTTGATGATAAGAGTAAAAACATGTGGGCGAGGGTGTGTATCAATCCTAACTATACATATATATTCGCATTTGATGATAAGAGTAAAAACATGTGGGCGAGGGTGTGTATCAATCCTTATATTTGCATTTGAAGATAAGAGTAAAAACATATGGGCAAGGGTGTGTTTGATAAGACTAAAAACATGTAGGCGAGGGTGTGTATCAATCCTTATATTCGCATTTGATGATAAGAGTAAAAACATGTGGACGAGGGTGTGTATCAGTATTTGGCTTAAGAGGAGAGAGTGCACCATCAACAATGAACCTGAACATAAGTGGTCAAAATCACAACGAACCAAACAATAATGTCGACGCTTTTTGTTTGACTGGTCGGTTAACTTCCCAACAACCAAAATAATAAATGCAGGCTGCCAACACATGTTAATTACGTGACTTTGGTCTTAAGTAGGTGGGAGAACGGCACTGTGCAATTTTGCGGACAAGATTGTCTGTCCCCTTACTTCAATTATCTTTTCGTACCCTTCTGTTTATATGATAATGGTTAAATCATGTCAAAATTTTATATTATTATTTATTTTTATTTTATTATTTTTATAAAAAAATAATATAAAATATTAAAATAAGTTAACCGTGATCACATAAAGGCATGGGAAAACATCGGAAGTGGAAGGACAAACAATCCTGTCCCAATTTTGCCTCAATTTCACTTTATTTACGAGTTTGCCAGCCGGCTGATTGGGTCAGAATTTCGCTTTTTTTACAAAATTGCCACCACCTCTTCATTGCTCGTTCGGTGATGGGAGACCATGCCGCTCTGGGATCGAGATGGACAGACAGTGGGAGAGGGAGGAGTGGGGATTTGAGGGGTAGGCTGATTTCCATTGATGCATCCATTGTCAGTCCGATTTGGGACAGGGTGGTTGCTGTCGGTGAGATTGAGGGATGGGTGTGGGATTCGGTGAGGGTAAAGGTGACAGGGAGAAAGAGAGACAGGCAGAGAAAGAGGAGGAGTGGGGGTGAATAGGTCCGATCCCAGACTCAGCGGGTCAAACTCAGTCCTTGGCACCCTTGCAAATCTAGCTTCAAGCTGTACATCTTTCTCTCTGCATCTGCACAACCTTGTCCTGCCACTGTTTAGTGAATTTTCATGATTTTGTAAAAAAATTCGTTTAAATTTCTGAGCTTTGGAGGGTTCTTCATTTAGCCTATGGGGTTTTTTTATTTTTTATTTTTATTTTTTTGACGTTTTTATCTGAGACTTAGTATTTATTTTCTAGAGTTTTTAGAATACTTCGATTAAATTTGTGAGTTTGGTAGTGGTATTTTTTCTGTGCATTTTTGGTGAACTTGGTTGTGGGTTTTGATGTTTGTCTGAAGCAGGGAAAGGGAAGAAAATCACGAACCAAGTGCTATTTCAGCACCTGTTAGGAGCTGAAAGAAGCAAGATGGTATAGTTTTCTGTAATTATTACTATTGCTGTATGTAAATGACCAAATCGAAATGTCTTTGAGCTCCTTACAAATTCAGTTTCCTGACTTATTTTCCTTTTCTCGATTTGAATGCAACTCTGTCCAATCATATTTTCTTATATGGTTCCACAATTCTAGAAGGTTAAATAAAATAGATCAACCCTCCTTCCTCTATGTTATGAACAAGTGTATTGCCATCGGCATCGAATATATGTAATTTAGTTGTGATGTGGAATCTTGAGACGTCCTCTAGAAATGCAGCACTATCTAATTTGCTTTGATTTAATCAAAGCATAAAAGCAAACAACTCACATACAGAAATTATATCAAGCAACTGGCTATTCGATCAAAAGTTATGTGAACACGAAAAATTCCTGAAAACAAGAGACAAGAATAACGTGTACAAAATAATATTTTTTATGTTTAATGATTTTGGGGTTACGATCTCTTTGTAATTTGATCATCTGATTCTATCTCCGTAAGGTGTAGGTTTGTGGATGAGTTGTTGATCCAAAGGGTCGTCGGGGCTTGATCTAAGGATGAACAGTTGATGAATGGATCTTCAAGGGGCGTTGGGCTTGATCTTGAAAAATGGGTGTATGGGTTTGTTGAGGTTGTTGATCCAAAGGGCCGTTGGGGTTTGATCTTAGGATGAACGGATGATGAATGATGAACACTTTCTTCAAGGGGCTGTCGGGGCTTGATCTTGAAGGTTGATGGATGAGCGGATCTTCAAGAGCTTTTGGGTTTGATCTTGAAGAACGGTTGGATGTGTGGATTTGTTGATGTTGTTGATTCGAAGGGCCGTTGGGGCTTGATCTTAGGATGAACGGATGATGAACAATGAACACTTTCTTCAAGGGCCGTCGGGGCTTGATCTTGAGTTGGTGGAAGTTCTTCAAGGGCCGTTGGGCCTTGATCTTGAAGGAGGATTTGACGAAGAACGAAGAGTGCTTTCTTGATCATTCGGGATTTTCTTGAGAGCTTTAGAACTTTAAGGCTTCAAGGTTTTGGTGTGTGTGGATGTATTCTCTTCCATTTTGGGAGTAGAGAAATGTATTTGTGAATTGGTGTTTATGTGTCTTCTTCCAATTTGGAAGTAGAGAAATGTATTTGTGAATTGGTGTTGGTTTGTGAATTGGTCTTTGTTAGGGGTGGTTCGGTATGGGATACCGAACCAAAAGTAGTATCCCGAATCCCAAACCGAAATTTTTTGGGACGGGAATTTGAAGACCAATCCCAAACCAAAATTTCGGGAATCCCAAATTTCGGGAATCCCGAAATATTTTCGGGATTCCCGAAATATTTTCGGGATTTCGGGACAAATCGGGAATCCCAAATTAAAATATGAAATTATGAATTATTCTTCAAATATATAATTTAAGAACACATTCATGAACTAGGAATGTCATTTCATTCACACTACCATTTAATCAAATATTGGCATGTTTGATTGTTTTTATCAAAGTCAAAATTCAAATTAATTAAACCCTTTTGACAATCTGTTAAGAGACAAAAGAATCAAACCTTCTGAAATCATTAGTCATGACAGTAACAATAATAAAATCCAAATGAATATCAAACAGAACATGAAAAATATGCAAGGTGTAAGGCATTCCAGGTTGCAGAGCATGAATTAGAAACTACTAGCATCAATTATAAAAGAATAATATATAATATATATATAAATTAATAATATATAATTTCTGTTTGGTATGGGATTCCCAAAATATTGAGAAGTCAATCCCAAATCCCATACCAAATTTTCGGGATCGGTTCGGGATAGCATCCGAAAATTTCGGGAATTTTGGTTTGGGAAATTTTTGGTTTGGGATCGGGATTTTTTCGGTTCGGTTTGGGATTTTCGGGAATTTTTTCCACCCCTAGTCTTTGTTGTGTGAATTGATCTTTGTGTGAATTGGTGTTTCTTCCTCTTGATGGAGAAGCCTATTTATAGGCTTTGAGAGTGAATCACCACCATTCATTTTTTTTGGTGAAGTGAGTGGATGATGTAGGTGAAATGAGAGGAGGTTGTTGGTGAAATGAGTGGAGGTTGTAGGTGAATTAAGTGGATGATGTAGGTGAAATGAGTGCAGGTTGTAGGTAAGGTAAATGGATGATGTAGGTGAAATGAGTGGAGGTTGTTGGTGAGGTGAGGGAATGATATAGGTGAAATAAGTGTTGTATTGGTTAACATTTATTTCACTGAAATTTCGATGTCTACAAGTTAACACAGCAAAATGTTAACCTAAAACTTATACGGCTACATTGATGTCAACAACCTTTTAGTTTGTTAGTCTGCACAGGTTCGGTGGCATCTTTGTAATGATTTTCCTTATGAACCCGGTCTTCTCTCCATAGGGTCTGCTCGGTTGACTGGTAGAATAAGGTCCCAATATTTCTACCTTTATTTATGTATATGTATGGATAGCTGCTTCGATGTTCACTTGGGTACCGTTTAGTACGTGGGATGAGACGGAACAGAGTGGGACAAGGCGTTCTGTTCTACGTTTGGTGCGCCTAAAACGGGGGAAACGAGCTGTTCCACGGAATGAGTTTTGGGTGAATTTTCGTTCCACCTCACCCCCCCTAGAACAACTCGTTCCACATCTATGGAACATAAAATTATAATCTCTCAGTCTCCTTCTTCTTCCTCCTTGTTTTCATCCGAGGGCATCTTTGCTCCCGCTCGTTCCATTCCGTCATGTCCCATTCCGTTCCGTCCCGTCTCGTCTGCATACCAAACGATACCGAACAAAGCACTTTTGAAAGTTTACCGTTGTCAATGTGAGTTAGTTTATTGTTTTTTACTATTAAACTAATTTGTGGACCCTAATTTCTACGAGAGCATCTCATTATCGTGGAAAAAAATAACATAATAAATCATAAAATTAAAGAGGAGGGCTTGGTCATAACTATATTTGATAATTAATTCATAACTCTTTAATTTACATGAACAACCTTTACGTTTCTGCTAAATATTAATCGGTGTTGGACCTCTTATTACACGTAACATGTGATATTCTTTTTGTTTGCTAAAAAGAAAGTGATTCATTATATATATGCATGTTGTGTGTGAGTTAGCACAGAGCTAATTGGTGAATCTACAAAGAAGAGCATTTATATACCTGCTGCTTGATGTGGAATTTTGCTTTTGTTTTTAGCAATAACATGTACAATCTTGGATTCTATTGCAACGAAAGCAGATCAAGTTTCAGAGTGAAATTTATAATTGTAGTTTTATTGGTGTGAATTATCCTGCACACACACCATGATATCTTTGCTCATGAGTAATCTGCAGGGTCCTTTGGTCCAAAAGAGTTTCAGCAGCTAGGCAGTGCAACAGTCGTTGAGTACTTCCATGTGCCTCCTTATGCTGGGATTTTGTTAGACCGGTATCCCAGGTGTGTATTTTGTCTTCATATAGTTCATAGTTTTATTTAGTTTTGTTATATAATCAACTAGAAACACATTCAGTTGGGCAAATTCTGCGTTGTGACATACATGACATTGGAGTTATGCTCTGTTTTTTATTAAGGATGGTTGTTATGTTTTCTTATATTTGCATATTAATCCTGCCTAAAAAATTTAGTTTATTGGAATTTGCTCTCTGGTTTTGCTTTGAGCAAATTAAGTACAATTAAGTGCAATTGTGGCTTCTTCTTGCTCTGTGTTTGTTAAAGATTCGCTATAGCTGATAGCTCTAGATGTGTAATTACATAATAATTAGCTCTGCTGGTTAATCCAATTAGTTGAGGTAAGGAATATATTTTGACTGATACAATTGCATACTCTCATGGATTTCTCCATAGATTGAATTTTCAGTTTTTGGGAATGTTAAAAATTTAGTTTTTTGATCTTTTCTTGAAAGGATATGAAATTGGAAATCGAAAATATCAATTAATTGTTGAAATTATTTGACTTTTGGTTCAAAAATTTGAATGCAAGAGGTCCTGTTGGTCCATTTTTGACCTTTTTTTTTTTTAAATTTTTTTATTATATTTTGTTTTTAGCAATGAATTTAGGAGACCATCTGAGGCCGCTTGAATTTTTTTGCGCAGGATTTTAATAGAGCTTTAAGCTCTTCTTATTCCGTTTCAATTGTTAGCTTCTGTTTAGTGTGGCGCAAAGTGTTGTCCTGTGTTTTCAGCCATTTATCTATATGTATGGGGTTGATATATATATATAGGTTTTTTTTTTTTTTTTTTTTTCCAATAATAGGACAGTTAGAGTCTCCAGTTTTGTAGATTCTTTTAGATTTTGTTTCTTGAATTTCAGTTTCTTCATGACCGACAATTTGAGGTTTAGTTATACTTACAAATGTAATCGACCTTACAAGAATGCTTATCAAAAACTATGTATGTTACAAAATAAAAATAATCACAGAAATTTTGCTCCCCTATTTGGTCATTAGGTAGTTATTTTTCTTTAACATCTGAAGAACATTATATCAAAGACATCTAAAGAAACTTTTAAATGTGTTCTTCAGTACTGCACCTAGGAAGAAATCAACTCAAGTGCATTTCACTTTTGTGTTTTTTTATTGCATCTAATGATGTGATTTATCAATATGCAGGAAGAAGTTGTCAAGTTAAGTGAACAATTGAGTTATTTGAAAAGTTTGGTAAGTGTCTTATGCCCTGGTTTATGTTCAAGCCTGGGTTTCTTAGTTAGTCCTACAGTCACTATATTTCTATTCATATATTTGGGTGTGGTGGTACTGTTGGCGCCATAGCTTTGAATCCCAAGATTTTTCAACTATGGCACTTAGATTTTGTCTGATGATCAATTATGACACTTAGGTTCAATTATGACAAACTGTACTCGTATTAACCAGTGATTAATTTGAGTTCAGAAACTTTACTAAGTTACCACATTCAACGAGTGGCAATCCCCATTTTCAGTTGGTCTTTGTAGAAAAAGGTATGTAGGCTAAAAAATATATTTGTTATTGATACGTGAATGTGGAAAAATGGAAGAGAATGCTTTTTTTTTCATTATCCTTCTCTACAAGATTACAAGGATATATATACATGATACAAGTGTGTAGGTAGGACAAGGTAGTCGTCCTAGTGTGTAGGTAGGACAAGGTAGGACGGCTGTAGGACGGCTAGTGTGTAGGACAAGGTAGGACGGCTGTAGGACGGCTAGTGTGTAGGTAGGACAAGGTAGGACGGCTGTAGGACGACTTGACGGCTGTAGGACGGCTAGTGAATAATATTATATACAATTACACAAGGACTCCAACCATATTCCTTATTTGTCTAACAGTCTTTACGTAGTAGTGTCCAATCTTAATTAAGTGTTGAAAATTTTGAACATTTTTGTTTCCTTAATAGATGCCATTCATGTTTCCTGCTTTCATGTCTGCTCTAGAGAGAGAAAACGGGATTATATGTGAGACCCCAAAAACATGAGACCAATTTGAGAGTTAATGGAAGGACATGCATGTTTCTACCTCTCCCATGTATCCGAAATGTCATTAGCAGATCTGCAGCTATTTCCTTCTTTAGCACCCTATTGAGCAGGGTGCGTATCTTCCCTAAAAAACGAAATAAAATACAAAACTACAAATTAAGCCTCTTACTAAGGAAATAAAAAAATACATGGTTTTTCAGTTTAGGCAAACAGGACCATTACCATTCACAAAGAGAAGAATATGGGACGACCTGCTTTCATCAGAGCTTGGGTCGTTACAGGGTACCTACAAGAAGAGTTGAAATGTTTATCAATATGTATATCACATGGAGACCTTATCCCGGGAGAATTAAGTGAAGGCAGGAAAGTTTGTGCTGTATCACCACAGAAATTCTAGTTATCATACTTCAAATAATCAATTCCCTGCAAAGAAAGTGCATGAGCATTTCAAGATTCTCTGACAACATATCATCATTGGAGATGTTGATTGAGTGAAATGATGATGAAATTAGGAGAGCTAGGAGATATTTTTCCTGATTTCTATTTGTTAACTGACTTTTGTATTTTTGGTTGCTACCTTGCTCTTAATTTCTCTTTTTCTTCCTTCTTTGCTGCTCTTTGATTTTTACAGTCCCACTGCAAAATTGCACCATACGTGTTTTGCCCATTTTTGTTCATGTTCCTATTGTTTGTTATTGTAGTGGTGATCTTGCATGTTTTTTTATCTGTGCTTATGTTTTGGAGGTTTTATTTGGGACAGTCCATTGTTTATTGCTTTTCATGGCTACTGGTTTGCTTAGATTTCTGCCTTTGATTTATTTAGGGCTGGTTTGGTTACGAATATTTTTTTTTTTTTTTTTTTTTGCCATTTTGTGATTGGGATGTGATTGTAGGCTTCTTCCATTTCTCTGATGCTTATTTTTTTTTTTTTTTTTTTTCCAAAAGAACCTAGGATAATTTTGATGAGTGTTGTTAAACAATTTTGATTTCATAATTAGGGTTTAGGGTTCTATTTTGGTAATGGGTTCAATCCTTTTCCTTCTCCAAACTGTTAGTTTAGGGATGGTTAGGGCAAGTGTAGGAAAGGAAATGAAAATTGACATTTTGAGGCTTACCTTTTGGTTGGTGGCTGAAAAAAATGGGGGAAAAAGGAAAAGAAAATTGTAGTGTTGAGTGGCTCAGTGGCGGTGTTTGTGCAGGCATTTTTTTAAAACTAAGTCCAAATGCATTTTTGTTTAAAACTCATCGAGGCTTACCTTTTTGTCAGTTGCTTTCTTTCTTTTTTGCGTTTTCAATTTTCCAAATTATTGTTCAAAGGTAGGTTGCTTTGGCTGGTTGGTGTTTTCATTAGGTTTTTCTAGGAGTGGACTCTCTCATCCACCCCTAAGTGCTTGAATGAGTGCTGTCGATAAGTACACTCTCATCCACCACATCTTTTGTAATCAGCTCGGTTGAATGTATATAAAAGCTAAGCTGCTTATCTTACCGACACTGTTCACTCATCTATCTCTTTTGTTCATTCATGATTATATTGATTTTTTTTCAGGTTGAATATGTCTTATTTATGTAGTTAAGACTGATGCATTCAAGTCCCGCAGCAGCGCGTGGGCATATAACTAATGTTATCTAATGTGGAGACCTTTGTCTTTGCAATCTGCAGATCCACGGGCATTTGGGCAATGGTGGGTTTGCAGACCAGGTAAATGGAGAAAACATGCTGAGTTCGAACATCTAACTACCACCTAACTAAAGAAAATGACATCTAACTACCCCCATTTAATTATACATGCCTTGCGTACCCATATTACTGGGAGAAATTTGAAAAAATAATCAGAATTTTTACCTCATAATAACTATAGCCAACATTTTAAGTTTGTGAATAATTATAATCAAAATTTAATGTAAAAGTACTAATATACCCTTAATGATTAAAAACTTCCCAATTTGCTCTTAGCCGTAAAAACTAGTAGTGCTCCAGCATGCATGGTCAAGCTTTACTTTTTCACAATTCTTGCATCACCAAATTCTAACCATCTTTGTCTTCCCAACATACTCGCCAGTTGCCACATAATTCATGTACTATTTGACCAGCAATATTGAACAATAATTTGTCAAAAAATGAAGAGGGATAAAGGTTCAAAAGTTAAAAAATAGTCTGATTTGTCAAAAAACTCGTCTTTCAACCGATGGCTGGGTTATAATTCTGTGAAGTTCATCAGACCATTATTCGGCCAAAGGTAGCCCCTCTTAGCCCATTTTTAGAATTCAGCTCATTAGTTGTAATAATTGATTCAAATTCAAATGCTATATTTGAAAGGGGAATTATTATTGGCACTTCAAAAATCTTATTCTACACTCCAAACTTTCTGTATTTGGAAAGAAAAATACACTTCTGAGGAGTGTAAAATGAGATTTTTGGAGTACCAATAAATTTAGGGAAGTGTTATTGGCACTTCAAAAATCTTATTCTACACTCCTCACAAGTGTATTTTTCTTTCTTAATATAAAAAGTTTGAAGTGTAAAATGAGATTTTTGGAGTGCTAATAACAATTCCTTAAATTTAAAGTATAAACTTAAAACTAAAAAATTATTAAATGATTTTTGCAAGATTATAATTTTGAACAGAGCTATGTTTAGCCCTTTGAGTTAGAGATGGTCTAATGCATGAATAATTAGAAATCACTTCATCTCTTCAATTTTGGATCCGCTTTTCCAACTTATTATTAGGGGGCTATTAATCTATTAATTATTTAATTGTACCATTTTGTTCTCAATAAAGTTGTAATCTTTCTGCGATTTCTAGCAACATTTCATTTCCCAAAATTTCCATCAAAACATGTGGACAAGGAAGCCTTTATACTATACACAGACCCAAAACCCTGCTACCACTTCTCAGCTTACAAACATGGCTGCAACGGCCAAAAATTCCTCCAAAAATCCCTCAAGTCCGCCCCGAACAAAGAACAAGCTTTCAGGTTCACGAAACAAAGATACCCAGATGTAGTTTTTGTAATGAGTTCGAAGGTATTCTTTATATTTGCTAGATTTGCTCTTCGGTTCATGTTCAAATTACGCAATTTTGTATACCAACATAAAAGCTCAGTAATGCGTCTTAGGAAATTATAATTTTAAGGGTACATTAGTACTTTTATATCAACTTTTGATTATGATTATCATAAACTTAAAAAGGATGGCTATAATTCTATATGGAGTCCAAATTTTAGTTACTTTTCCAAGTTTCCCATATTGCTGTCTGTACAAATCAATCTTTGCAAAAGACAACCACCTCCATGAAACGGGTTCAACATAAGCATGATGTTCCAATCTAATAGGACACTGTTATGCGGAGAAAAAACTTCAAATGAACAATGCATTATTGGATTGAAACACTATATGGCGGTAAACTTAATCTCAAAAGTCCTCCATAGTAAATATAATTGGATAGTGATTTTTGCACCCTCATTTTCACTTCTCTGCAGTAAGCACTCACTTGTTCTTAGCCAATAGATTGAGTAAATAAAAGAAGAGTTACGCTACATAATTTAAAAGAGTGCATATGGTTAAAAGAAATTACAGGAATCACTTCCAATTATAAATAAAGACATACTTAGATATGCCTACAAAAAATTACACTTTTTTCGTACACTCTATTACGTCTCACTTTACCTCTTTGTTTTCTTCTTGTGTCCCACTGCCCATTTCGTCAATTCAGTTCAAGAGGCTGCATAATTTATGAGAATGCTAGCAACCTTATCATTTTGACCTCCTCTTGTAAATTCTCATTTCTCCTTCTTATCTTTAACATCACACGATGATCCAAACCATTTATTTGCCAAACTACCTCTTAAAGATCACGGTGATCTATAGTATTTATGTTCTAAATCCCCTTTCAATTATCCAACAAACTAACACATGTTTTTTCAATTAAACCGAAATTATGACAACCTTAATTGAATTCTGATTTGGTTGTTTTGCAAAATTAATCTTTAAACGGTAATATTTCCTATCAACCGATTTCCGAAAAAAAAAATAAATAAATAAAATACTTGTGAGGCGTTCTGTATAAATTGTCGTTGTCAAGTGTATTTCCTAGTTTACTATTAAATGTTTGGATATATATTGAAGTAACATAGAGGAGAGACGAATGGATTAACCTACACAATAACCCCTCAACACACAGCGACCGTAAATTTCAAATGTCTTGTCGGGAAACAAGCCGGATCATACCAGACTCCCTTAGTTTTTCTTCTTATTTTGCCAGAGGAATAAGGACCAAATTAATGTTAAACTACAACAAAATTAATATCTTTATTCGATAAAATCGCAAACAAGCTTCACCGCAGGCCAGCCTCAATCCGCTTCTCCTTTTGCTGTTAAATTCGACTGCCAATAATGCTAGGGAGATGAAACTTGCAGTATGTTTGAGATGCAGTACAACCTCAGAGATACTAATCATAGAAGGGGAAACTGCTGAAAACTTCAGTTGCAGTGTGGGGTCATTTTACCTTATAGCATTCCATCTCCATTGTCTAGCTCATTACTCAGCCACAACCATTTACAGAAGTTATCGTCTCCAGAACAAGCCGGAAAATGAAGGCCTCCTGCAAACAGTAACTAGGCAGGAGAAATATTTAGATGGGAAGGAGATGGCGACCTCTCTTTTCTTTTGCCTGTCACAACTGTGGTTTTATCATCGTGACTGGCAACAGAGTCTGATGTGCATGATCGTAACTCATGGTTGTCGCAAATACCACCGTTCTGAGAAGATGCCAATTTCTGTGAGACTACACCACAAGCTTTAGATACACTTTGCCGTGTAATACAGAGCCAGGTTCTTGCAGGCTCCTGACAGCTTTCATCTGCTACGGGCACATGCCATGATCCATTTTCGGATTCCTGAAACACATTTAAGGGATCAGCTAATCACCAACACAGACTATATTTGAGACCATTTAAATGTCTCCAAACATTTAAAACAATCATCCAACTAGTGAAGATTATCATCATTCTATTACGCAACTGAGATTTATTTGAGACCATTTAAATCAAACGTTAAGCATCCAAAGCGCCTCAGAAATGGCAAACTAAAACAGCGTTTTACTAATTAAGGTGACAATTGAGGGGCAACTTGGGAGTCATAATCTATCTATAGCAAAGTTCAAGCCCAACTTAAGTCTGTTTAAACCAAGGTGCCAATTGATTAACATGTTGAAATCTATATCTCTATTGTTCAACTGCTGTTGAAAAGATTACGACTAACTTTACACAAAAAAAACCTATTGCCATCAAGCTTGAGCATAAGAAACAGTCATCGCAACTTTCGCATCAGCATGAGAGACTATAAACGTAGAAATATACAAATTAATGCAAGGTAAGCATCTTTATTAATGCAAGAAAAGCAAGTACCTAAAGGAATCATTCAAAACTGCATGGCATACTTTAGATTTTAGGTTTTACCCATACAAGTGTTCCTCCTGAATATCCGGAATGATTTATCTTAAATTTACAATCCAATAAAATCTTGTATGTTCATTACTCATATATTTCCACATTCCTCAGTTTATTTTCCACATTAATTTCCTATATGAATAAGAATGGCAGTCTTATTTGAACCCCCAATTTCCAACATAGCAAATTTTTTGAAACTTTATAGTGTAATTTTCCCATCAAAACCTTTGAAAATATTGAAATAAACAAATAAATATAATACTTTCATCCTCCCAGTCACTGTTGCAGGACTGACATCACCACCTAGGGGTTTCTGCAACCTCTCTCAAAACCAGCAAAGGTGCCGTGCATCCTTTCTTTCACAATTATTTGTGTTTGACAAAAATAAAAAGTAGATTTGGAACAAAATAAAATGAATGAAGGTTGCCATTGTACTTTCATCAACCAAAAGAACATTTTACAAATTAGGATTCAAATAAAACCATTAAGTTGAAAAAAATACCCTGTCAGCATAAACAATTAAGAAGTGTACCATAAGATAAATCAGATAGACAAAGGAACGGAAGATAATCAGTAAGGACAGTCTACCGAAAGTAACCATGAGAAATTCAAAATGGTACCTGGATGACTGAAGAATATGTGGGCGGCATCTGAAGTTTCAGATTGCCTTTGGCAAAAGTGTATCGAACCTGAAACACAAGATGCAAGAGAACTTCTAGGATTAACGATTCAATGAGTGAATAGATCAGTTCACATTTTAAGCAAACCAAAAACTAATCAACTAGATTTGACAAACCATCTAACATAGCAAAAAGACAAATATGCAGAAACACCGGTTGGATTAATATCTTTTGACTTTATGTGCTTTTCTACATAAGGTTTAACACGATTTTCTCTATGTTACATCAACATACAACAAATATGCAATGTAATGACAATGATTTTGCCTTGTAATATCGTTAGAGGCTGATGGTAATGTAGAATATGGGGAGCACAACCCTTGAATTAGTGTTTGTCTTTGATTTATCCAAATTCAAGCACGTAGCGGGTACACTGGCTAGAGAAGGAAATGGAAAGGAAGACACACCTCGGCACACATACAAGAATATAACTATCACTAACTGTAGGTTACCTATAACTTACTGTCTCAAATCTGTTTGGAGGCGGGGCGGTAGTGGAAACACCTTTGCCCAGTGGGAAAAGGCTTAAACTCTCTTAGACGTGGTCAAGACGCGACTAGGCGGCTGAGGCGTGTGACTGGGCGTTCCCAGACCCTTCATCTTCCTGGGACCTTCGAAGTCGAAGGCTGGGATGGCTCTGAGTTGTGCTGCAGTGGCATCTTCATGAAGAAGACGACCGCGAAGAAGAAGAAAGCTAGGTTTTTTTTTTTTTTTTTTTCAAGACTTTGGCCCAAAACGACATGGTTTTGGCCAAGTCTTTTAAATATTTTTAAATGACTTGGACCAAAATGACGTTGTTTGGCCAAGTCTAAATTTTTTTAATATAACCCCAGCAGGTCCCTCCCTTCTTCCCCATCCCTATACCCGATTTTCACATTTACAATTCACCCAATCCCCAATTCCCCAATTCCTCAAACCCTAAACTCTCCCCAATCCCATATTTCAATTTTACCCCAATCTCATACCTCAATTTGCTTCAAAATTATCCACACCACCACAGTTTGTTTCAAAATTCAAGTAAGGTTTTTAGTATTCTAATTTCTAATTCTAAATGGTCAGTTTGATTGTTGATTAATATGTTCTTCAAAGTATTATATTAATTTACATATATATTAAAAACTTCAGGTCCTGTGAGGCAATGCCTCATGCCTCAAGGCTTTCGCCTATGTGGGCTATCCATGAGACGCCTCGCCTACGCCTTCGCCTTTAAAAACATTGAATGAAAGGTAAATTATTAGCATTGTCCAACTCAAAACATATTTCGAATCAAAAACTCAAAAACAGTGTTTATAAGATGTATCTGAATTATATTAGAACTTATTCCTTGCATCTATGGTTCATAAATTGCTCAAGACTAGGACCCCTTTATCTGCAACTCATACCCATCTCTCATCACCCCTATTAAATAAAATCCACTCAACTTTCTGTAGTGTGATTTAAGTCATCCACGGGGTCCATCTACACGGTCCCTTTTATTATTTGTGATCATGCAGTGTGATTTTAGGATTCATATGTCTCGTGTCAACACTACTAAAGAAACGAACAAGTTTCACATATTTTGGTTAAAAGTTAAAAATACAAAAGGAAAATCTTCCTACTTCTGAACTGCATTGAGAGGCACTCTTTCTCTATTAAAAAATTAAAATAAGAAAAAGAAAAATGGGTGCTATTCTTACCAGCTTACTCAAGTAACAGAACTAAGCTGATTAGATTGGTTCAGATGGTCAAGGCAGGTCAGAATCTAAGTTTTAAAGAATCTAAGACTTAAAAAACAACATATTTAAAATGCATACAAGCTCAAGCACTGCAAATGAAAATGTTTAAAATATGAGGTCATGACAGAATTGAATAGCTTCGATAAGGCCAAAAACGCAAGGCATTGCAATACACAGAGTTTCATATCATGCCAAACCATATGGATTCTTCCATACTCGTTCTAAATAGGTAACTAATAGAAGATATCATCTATAATGATATGTTGATGAGATTGTGCAAGAGAATGAGATAAAACATGGAAAAGCCAATAAAAAGTTGAGGGCACATGCAATAACACGTAGAAAGATGTTAAGGTTGTACTAGTAAATGTACTTGGTGTCTCTCTTTCCACTTGAGGAAGAAGCTGCTTCCTAGGAGTTCAAAAATGTGGTCTCGCATTTCATCGTTTGTAACGAGCAAGCATTTGAGTTTCACAGCAGCATAGAGCCAATACCTGAGTCATAGCAGAGAAGTAATTTGATTATTCGGAGCATGACAGTCGTGATGTTTAAAATGGTGAACACAACCACTATAGAGAGAATGGTATTTCATTCATCAAATTTTTTGTCAAAATGGTGAATAGGTGTCAATGTTTTTCTTTTAAAGACAGATACACGGAAAGAGAGAGAGAGAGAATTGCAAAAAATAGAATCAATGTTTTCATCAAAACAGAGAATGTGACCATGAAAAGGGTTTTTTTAGAGAAAGAAAGATAACTGCAGATGATTGCACAACATAAAAGCAGGAAACTAGTAATAACATTCAGTAAGTAGTGGATTGGAGGCTCATACCAATCGTCATTGGAACCACTCGGTGTGGCATAAAGAATGCCTTTACCCATCCACTCCTCGAACAGTTTTCTGTGGGAAGGATTTTCCACAAGTCCCCGGAAACGTCTATTATGCATGACAACAAGTGGCCATTTCCCTCCACTCCTATTGTACAATTCTTTTACAACAGCGTCGAGCTGCTCTATTATAGAACATAAACATAGTGTCATGATTACATGTGGCAAAGAGAGAGGAGGGGGGAAGGTGGGGGCTATGCAATAACAGGAGAAATAAGCAAAAGAAGAGAGAAGCCATAATTTTGAGGTGTACAACCTGAATAAGACTGAATCCACCATCAGCGAAATTTTGCTGGTAAAGCCCAATATTAGCTCCATCCACTATAGCTTCATACTCAGCATGCTTGTCCAGCCAATCCTTTAAAGCAGTTGAGTGGAGATAAATTACAATATGTTCTCAAAGTACTTTTGACCAGGAAATTGAACACGTAAAGTACATGCTTTGCTACTTTCAACTTCTTGATAGACTCAACAACTCTAATTCGACTTATAAATATTTGGTTTCTGTCATTTCAAGACAAACAGATGTGGAAAGTTTAAACCAAGGCAACCACAAAAAAAGATCACCACCCAAAGACTTGGCATCTCCATGGAATCAAAGGTTTTGATTGTTTCCTTCTAATAGTTGGATATGCAATCAAACGTTAAGCGAATGCATTCCAAAGCCCATATTATTCATTTACCCATATTCATAATCCAGTAACAAAGTAAATGAGCTCAATTTAACCCAAAATGACGGGAAAATATGAAAAGAGAGATTTTTGTTTTCTGGTTGTACTCATCATAAAGGCATAGACCTTTGCATACACATTGCATATATTTACAGGTGTAGTAAATCTATGACTCTACCTCTAATACTTTCATACGGGTCAACCGAAACAGACTCAAACTGTAAAGCATCTCAGTTCCTGCATGTTCAATCATTAAAGGCTCGACATATCTACGAAATCCGAATCAAGAAAGCGTTTATACTAATACTGTGGGGAAACGGCATCACACGGTAACAGTTTCATTATTGTCTAATGAATTTTTAAGTCAGTTCTCAATTCCTCAAATTTGAATCCATGGAATCTATTACATCATTACAAACAACAATTAAACATCCACATAAACAATGATTAAAGTTCTAAATAATGCATAGAAAATTAAACAAAGAGAAAGATTTTGGCTCACCTGGAACTCACTGAAATTAGACTTAACCTCCCTTTCCATTGCCAAAGCAGCAACCGACTGCGCAAACCTCTCCGTCTCCGCACAATCAAGGTCAACACAAACTAAACGCTCACCACAAGAGCTACATTGACTGCTGCTCAAATCCACATTGGCTCTCCTCACATCCCAAACCCCCTTCCCGATCCACCCCTGCCCGTGCCACCCTCCTCCATTCCTCAAAACTGACTCTTTAACCCGAACTGAGTCCCAATTCACCTCACCCACCTCACAAGCCGCTCCACCACAAAACCAATCCTCAATGTTCTTGGCCGTTGATTCACTAACACACCTCCCTGCATTCCTCAACTTATGCAAGTACCCATAAACCCTCTCCCCATTTCCCGTTTCCGCGCTGACCTTCAACAACGCTGCAATCTCCGGCTCCTCCAGGCTCACCCCCACCATACCCATATGCTCCTCCACCTCATACGCCTTCTCCGCCTCCAATTTCTCACAAAAGCAAAACAATGCCGGGTCATAACTCCGCAACCTCGGAAAAATTTTATACTTCTCCATACCCTTCACCAGCCCAAACGCATAATCCCCATCGCCTTTGGCAGCGGCAAGCCGGGCCATGGCGGTGATGGTGGCCTCATTCGGAAGTATCCCGATCGACAACATGTGATCGAACATGCGGAAGCCATTTTCCAAGGACAATTGCTTGATGGAGGGGTCGGCGACGGAGTTTGAGCAGAGGTAGAGGAGAGTGTTGAAGTGGTGGTGGTTGAGGCGGGTGTTCTGAGAAACGGCGGATTCGTAGAGGGAGATGGCGGCGGGGAGGTCTTTGTGCTTGGAGCAGAGAGTGAGGGAGGAGTGGAATTGGGCTTCTGGGGTTTGCTTCTTCTTGATCTTCTTCGGGGTCCCCATTGGCATGGCGGAGTAGGGTTCTGGGGAAGACAAAAAACGGAGGTTTCTGGTTCTTAATGTTTAAATAAGTATGGGCTGGGCTTGCATATAGAGAGTGCAAGGTGAGAGAACGTTGGATTTATAAGAAGATGGGCTGGACTTTGAATACAAACTAAATAGTTGCTTTTTTTTTTTTTTTTCTTTTTTGAGAATTAATGGTTGCTTCAAGCTCTATGATGTTTAAGCTTGGGTCGTTTCTTCTTCCTCCTATTCTTTCTCATTGAATCTGGTTCTTCAGGGTGTTGGTCTCTGTTATCATCGGCGATCCCGGAGCTGGGACTGTTGTCGGACAAGTTGAATTGAACTCAGGTATGTTCTAAGATTTATCCCGATCCTATTTGTTTAGGTTTGTTAATTTTTGCTCTATTTTTTCTGAAATTGATTGATTAATTTGTTGCGTTAGTGTGGTTGCAGATGAGTGTTTGAGGTAGAGATTTTGGGTTTTCCCCAAGGCAAGAACTAAAACCTAAACGGATAAATTAGGACATGAATTATGGATAAAACGCATGCAATAAACTGGTAGAGTCTAAAGCTAATATAATCTGGACTACCAAAATCATGAACTATCAATTTTCTATCTTTTCAATTTCTACAGAGCACCTTCCTGCAAACGATTCTTACAAACTTCCACTCGGTTCTATCAATTTTGTTAGAATTAACAATTTTGTTTGTCATTTATTTATACTTGCATACATATGTCTGCTTTTAAAGGTATGCGCGTTTGGGCACGAACACCCTCTCTTGCATATGAGTTATCCTTGAGCAGATGTATATGAAGTGAATTGCGCTGTCCCAGACTCCCCAACCATGCCAGGCATGTAAATTCATTATTGGTAAGTTAAAGTATGTTATGCATGTTAAACACAAGTTTTGGGTTTTTTGTTACGTAATTAGAATCCATGTTATACATGTTAAACACACGTGCGTAGTGTAGATAATTTTAACCAACATTATAGAATCCATGTTTGATTGAAAAGTTTGAATGTTCTGAGATGGAAAAGATAATTTTTGGGATACTTAGTTTCATCCGGAAACAAATAGTGTTTATCATCACCAAGTGGTACAAAGAGTATTTTAAAGTGTTTTTTAACCAATCTATTGTCGAGTTTTCTAGCGGGTTTCTTATTTTATTTTCTGTTGTTTTGCAAGAAACCAGAGCCTTTCCATGCTCGAGAGTTCCATAGTTATGTCACCGCTCTTTTACATATTTCCACTTTGATTTCCAATACGAGATTAAAGCCTTTGATTTCCAACAAATTTCAGTTAGGTAAATTGATTTCCCTCAAAATATATAAATTATGTGTTTTCTTTAATCATTTTGTTATAATATTCAACCCATTTCAATTTAATACCAACTGAATCCTAATTTGTTCAATTTCTTTTCGTTTGGCTATTGAGTGCGGTTGTTTGCCGTTCTTTTTGAGGTGAGATAAAGTTTATATCTGTAGATATATGTATCTTAACAACAACCATGGGGGTTGCCAATGACTTCTTTTTTTTTTCTCTAAATTTTGTCTTTTCAAGTGCTTTTGAAGGCCAATGGGACCCACATTTATTATTTATAATTTTATTAGGAACGGCCAACGGGGCCCACATTTAGCATCACATTTTGGAGGTTGCATTAAAACGATTTCTAGTGCTATATTCTTTTATTTTTTTTAAAGGGACCTTAATAGGTTATGAGTTTTATTTTTCCTTTTAATTGGAGTTTTTTTTTTGGGATCCAATTCTTTTTTTTTTAATTCTATGTTCGAAAATATAAGCATAGTTTTTTTTTATTATATTTTATTTATTTTTTTTTAAGTATGTAATTGGGCACATATTTATATGTTTATTATAAATTTGCTTGAGTCCACCTAGATTATATGCCCTAGTCCTAAAGCCTAGCGTCTTTAGAACCTTGACTGCCATGAACGTTGTATATTAGCCTTCTGCTTCACAAGAACTGTTCTAGGTTGTTGGCATAGGAGCAACATCACATATGACTTATATACGTCCAATCTCAATATGACAACACCTTTTTAAGACAGTGATACAATAACCAATCTAGTGGTTCAAGTTTGAACATATCAGACTAGTTCTTCTACTTTGCAAACTCCTAAATAGTGCATTTCAATTAAAAAATTTTCTTCATGTACGAAAACTGTGTCCATTCTATGTGAGCACATCACAATGATTATTCTTCAAAACCATATTGCATTTAATTCTTTTAAATCATTTTGCATTTAATTCTTCAAGACCATTATGCATTTATTGTCTTTGCACAATCTACAAATGGAAAATTTGTCGTCCATTTATAGATTGTGCAAAGATTATAAATGCATATTCATATGTAATGAAGTCTATTTTTTGGATACATGACAAGGTCACAGGAAGAATCTATTTTTTGGGACTGTGTAGAGTTTTTCAAAGTGATGGAGGGGGTGAATACTTGAGTCATAAATTTAAACTGTTTTTGCTTGACAAAGACATGCTTCACAAAAAATCATGTCATCACACTCCTGAACAGAATGGTCTTGCTGAGTGAAAACAAAGACACATCCTTAATACAACAATCACACTTCTTCAAATTGCTGCCTTGCCACCAAGGTTTGGTTTCATGGTTGTGTAACCTCAGTCTATGTGATCAACAGAACGCCTTATCAAGATCTTAATATGACCTCACATTGCACATATTTGTTTTGGTAATTCTCCGTCATTATCACATTTTAAAGTGTTTGGTTGTGCTTGTTTTCCTCTTCTAAAACCATACAATTCTACCAAGCTCTAACCTAAAACAAGACAATGTGTGTTTTTATGCAGGTCAATATAAAAGTGTATTTCTACCTTAGTCCAATTTCAGGTAGAATATTTGTCTCAAAACATGTTATATTTGATGAGTCTATATTTCCATATACATCTATATGTCATACTTATTACACAAAAACTAATGTCTCCCCATTAATGTAAACCTCTACAACATCAACACCACAATTAGTCATACATCTTAATACAATAATTCTACCAAGACCACCATTCTCACTGATTAATCAACCTTCATCATCTAGAGCCTCAGAGTCTTTAAATTTAACATCCATTAGTGCTCTAGAGTGTTTCAATTTTTCCACACCTTTTAGTTCAACCCTGCCATCTTGATTTTTAGCCAGAAAGTCTTTATGTTGTTCTTCCAGTTCCTTCAGTAAGTTCACATCCTATGCAATTGTTCAGACCAGTGATGTCTTTGCTATTGAGTCTAGTTATTTTAAGCATTCTAGTAAAATGAAAATTTAGTTGGGTGTAAATTACTTTATAGTATCAGAGGAATCCAAATGGTACTATTGCTAGACACAATGCTAGATTTGTTGCAAAAGGATATAGTCAAGAAGGTGGTATTGCCTCTAGTGAGACATTTAGTCATGTGGTTAAACCCACCATTGTCAAACTCATTTTAGCATTGGCAGCTCAATTTAATTGGTTAGCAAAACAATTAGGTGTAAAAATGCATATTTCTTCATGGCGAATTACATGAAGAAGTGTACATGGCTCAGCCTCAAGGGTCTATTAGTCAGATCATCCTTCTAGTTTTGTGTGCAAACTTAAAAAGTCTTTGTATGGTCTAAAGCAAGCTCCAAGGGCTTGGAATGAAAAGTTTACTAGTTTTCTATATGTTTTGGGTTCCAAATCTCTTATGCAAATCAATCTCTATTTGTTAAACACTCTTTTCTTGGTAGTGTGGTTTTGTTGTTCTACGTGGATGATACTATTCTTACTAGTAGCAGTTCTCAACTCATCTGTGATGTTATTTTGGCCTTAACTAAGGAGTTTAATATGAAAGATTTGGGGCAATTGAATTACTTTCTGGGATTGCAGATTACATATCAGTTCACTAGTTTGTTTATCTCTCAAACTAAGTGTATTGGAGATTTGTTGCAAAAAGTTGACCGGCAAGATTGCAAGCCTTGTGCTACACCATGTTTACCTTATCATAGGCTTTTAAAAGATGAGGGAAAGCTATATTATAGTCCAGAGCAGTATATAAGTATTGTTGGAGCTTTGCAATATCTCACTTTTAGTAGGCCTGACAGTGCCTTTTCAGTCAATAACCAGCATTGTCAATTTATGCATAACTCAATAAACTCTCATGTTGTCGCAGTGAAAAGAATTCTTAGGTATCTCACTATAGACTCCATTTGCAAGTCTATAGTGATGCAGACTGGACTGGTGACCGTAATGACAAGAGATCCACTTCTATTTATGTTGTTGTTTGGGCCCAAGATAACACTTTGGGCTGAGCCTAGAATTGTTCTTGGTCCAATAAGGAATATCGAGAATATTCCTTGCCAAGGGCCAAGTCCAGTATAGTTCAACTGAATCCTATCAGAAGATGGTTTTGCCTGGATAAAGGTGAAGTGATCAAATCCTAGTGCAATGAGGATTCTTTGGAAGTTAAGGATGATTCGAATCATAAAAGATGCTGAGAATCAAGGGATCGAATCTGAATGATTAAAGAGCTTGGTTTAAAATCCTATGAGGGTTAGGATTGGTCGAAACCTAATCAGATTGAGTTGAGGAGTTCTAGTCCAAGTGAAATTTTACCTTGGCCATTAGGGAAATTACTACTATAAATAGAGAGGGGAGTGCATCATTCAAGTGCCTCTAATTCAATACACAATTGCCATGCGCAAACCTCTCAAACACCAAGAATTTTTATTTTCTTTTTTCTTGCCAACACATCTTCAGTTTGGATAAACAGCATTGTGGAGGCAACTGTCAACATCTTCAGTTTGGATAAACAACATTGTGGAGGCAACTGGCAACATCTTCAGTTTGGATAAACAGCATTGAAGCCGGAGAATCAGCCGATCGAGGAGCACCTTCAGTTTGGATAAACAACACTGCTTTGAGACCGGCAGATTATCTATCCAAGTCTCGGTCAACTAGAATTTTCGAGTCCTTGTTGGAAGATATCATCTCATCAGCCTTCTCAGTGAAGTGAGGTGTTACCAGGCTTGACACATTGAAAGTCAAGTTTATTTTATGATTGGATATTTTCAAGTACATTTTAGAGTTTGGCATTCAGACGGCCGAACCACATTTACAATCAAGACATTTATCTCTTTTGAGTATTTGTGTTCGTACAGTCTGGTACCAGTTTGGCGTAATTATATTTGCACAAATATAATTACTGATACGATACCCGGCGCCAACGATTCGTGAACTTCAAAGAAACTAGCAGCCTTGTCTTCAGGCTCTAGAACCCAAAGGCTGAGACGAGTTCCTTTCTCGGCCGTATTCGCAAGACACAGAAGTCAGCAGTGCGTCCAATGCCACATCAATATGCATTTTACTCCCCAGCCGAGCTCTGCCGACGAGTTGGCATGCCCTACATTTGATTGAAGGACATAATTAGCACTCGACCTACGCACCTCGTAGGTTAGATAATTTTTAGGGTCAACAGTTTTATAATTTGGTTCCACTTCTGTAGATTGGACTGGTGAAAGAATTCTTACGTACTTACACGTTTTGTTGGAAATGTGCCCTAAAACCAATCATATGATGATACTTTATGGACATTTCACATGTTAAACTAATCTAGTTTAATATTAAGGGCAAACATTATTGTTTGAGCCGTCTCATATAAATGTTATATGCTTAAACGATAAGTCCAAGGAATATGTGATTGGAAGAATGCGATCTAAAGAAGTTAGATTCATGAGACCATTCTTTCGTTGACACATCCTAAACGTTCCTGATCATAGGATTGTCAATTGGGCATTGACAGTCCGTTAAGATCAGTACGTGCTATGTCTTCTCTCAGGGAGAGTGACTAGTCTCGAGTCATTGGTGTGTGTGACATCAAGACAAGTACGTAGGTGCTTAATAGAGAATGAGTTCACTGAACACGATCAACGAAGAGTTCTCATATTCATGTCACATGAGAACTCATGGTTGGGATAATGCAAAGTAGTCCTTTGACCTGAGGCATCACAGCTGTCTTGTGGTTAGGTACTTGATCTTTGATTATGTCAAAGTCACTCTATCAGGGTGTCCACGGCATCGTCGGGGTTAAGCCACTTAGTCATGGAGGCAAGTGGATGCGCAACAAGGGATCTCTAACCTTCAAACTGTTTGAGGGAGAATACTCTATGATATGATTTAGAATCTCTGGCCAGCGTATGAATGAGATGTTGGAATGCGTTCCAGATCACATTCAAGGTAATCATATAAGTACAAGATTCACATTGGATAGAAGACATGAATAAACTATCAAATCCAAACAATGTGGTCAAGAGTATTGTATTAGAGAAAGACCGTATTGCATTTGTAATCCTAAAACTGAATAGGTTCTCCACCTCTTCTGATTAGCTTGGGTAACCATGACATGCTGCTAGGCGTCAACCATGGTTTGTGGAAGCCCTAAAAGTGTATTATCACTAACGGGAGAATTGAAAGTAAGTTTCAATTCACAATCGATTAGAAAGAGTTTTTAATCGCCCACTGCCTCGCTAAAAGGAACCTAATGGATCGTTCACCGAGTAAGGTAGTGTTTGAAGAAACAACGGAGATGAGTAAGAATAATTAAATGGTTTAATTATTTATCTAAGGCTAGGATTAATTAATATATTAATTAATCAAACGAATAAGTTCGTTAAAGACCTCGGGTTAGTTTTGGGCCGCAAGGCCCAATGGGATTTGAATGTCAAGCCCATTAACTCAAGTTGTATGACAACTTGAATAAACAAAGGGCTTGAAAGCCCAATGAACCCTATAGGCCGGCCATGATAGAAGAATAGGGCTTTTGGTCCATTAGGTCACTTATTTGAAGGGACTATATAAAGGACTTTATAGCCTAAAAAATTGATATATGGTAATTTTTGGGGAAAGGATGAGAACACAAGCTCTCCTTTCTCTCTAAAATTTCGGCCACCTTGGAGGGATCATCTAGCAATCAAACTCCTCCAAGGTCACTCATTTCTTCTTTATTATGCCTTGGTGATGAATCATTAGAGGTTCTCAATTTTGGGAACTTGGAGAAACCTTTTCATCCATCCAAATTCATGGATCTAAGATGCAAGGAATGAAGGCCCTCTCTTTGGGTGATTAGCCTTTGCTTATGCAAAGAGGAATCTACAAAGGTATTGATTTCTCAACTCACTTTGTTTTGAGTTGAGTCTTGGTTCACCTATCTACTAGGCTTTGAAGTTCATGGGTTAATTTGAGTGCATATAAACATGATTCCGCCTTTTAATTGTTAATTGCATGTTGTTGATGTTGCTCAAATGAACTTGTTTTTCACAAATCTTCCTTCAAGTGGTATCAAGAGCCTAAGTCTAGTAGTTGGTGAATCCTTTTGGGTTTTGTAGTTCATAGTTTGTGATTTGAATGTTGTAATTGTTACAAGCTTTATTCTTGCTTCTTTGAATGTAAATTTTGTTAGAAAATTTGCCATCTCAAATGTTGTAGATGTAGTTCATATGAGCATGAATTTTGGAGCTAAAATTTGGTGCCATGTTTTTTGGGAAATTCGGCCAAATCCAAAGGGTGGATTTTTGGGTTCTTGTTTGACTTGTTAAAAGTGTTTTAAAGTGACTTTTGGAACCCCTATGTACCCTAGTATGGTTGTATGTTATTTCCCTTAAGTTTGAGTGGTTTTGGTATGTTTTTGGGTGAAGAATGTTCATGGAGCTCTTATGGGTTTTCATGGATGTTCTTCATTGTTCTTGATATGTTCTTGCCAAGAACAAAAGGTTTGGTGTTTTGATTCAAAGTTTTGATTTATTTCATAAAGTTTTTGTTTTGAAATATTTCTTATGTTTAAATATCTTAGATATTTGTTTTGAAAAATTAAAGAAATTTTAGTGGGTAGGTGTGTAATGATTTATTCCATTTCACACACCCCACTTACAAAACTTTGAAATTTTTTTATAAACTTTGCTTCAATGGCCGGCCACCCTACTCAATTAGGGTCCTTGTGGGGCTTTTATGCAATTACATAAAGTTTTGATACTTTTGTGTATTTGTACTTTGACCCAAAAGTTTACGTTTTTACGTAAAGGTCCAAAATCACTAAAAGGACAAATTGTTTTGCTCCTTTAATGAAGTTTTAGCTTTTGTGGAAATTTTTGGGTTCTAGTTGTAATTACATGAAGTAGTGGACTTTTGTGTTTTTACAAAGTGACCCCAAAAGTTTAAGTTTTTGCAAAATAGCCCAAAAGTTGAGGTTAATTGCACTATGGCCCAAACAAGTTGAGGTCATAGCATTTTGGCCCAAATTAGGTAGAGAACAAAATTGTTTTGTCTCTTTAAATGAGAATTGGATTTTCATTTCATTTAGCTCCATTTAAATCAATTCTATGGATACAAAAACCAAATGAAAATGTTGCATTCAAGTTTAATTAGTTAAAGCGTTAATTAATTAAAGAAATGGTGATTATGAACCTAAGCCTACTATAATTGAGCTATGTGAAAGGCCGTTTCAAATTTGTTTGAACCATGGGAATGTGTAGATTAAATTTTGGTTGTAATTTGATATGATCAATTGTTGTAAAAGAGCATAAGCTCTTCTTTACTTTAAAGTAATTTGATTTGATCAATTGTTGTAAAAGAGCATAAGCTCTTATTTACTTTGAAGTACTCCTTTCTTGTTTTATTCGATATGCATGAAATTGGAGTAGTTGGGTGCAACGCCCTAAGACAACACGCCTTAATGTGATTAAACGCGTAACTAAAATCAATCTCCATCCCTAGACCGAGATTCAACACTAGGCTCGTGTTGAATCTAATCAAAGGTTCATAGTCATCCTAAGGCCCTAAGACAACTATATAGTCCATCAATGAATGCAAACCTTATGTTAGTAGTATCATATACTCTTGCTTTAAAAACCGTTTTAAAAGCTTAGTGGGAGTATTATATACAACTAAATCAATCAAATGGACCAATAGTTGTAATAGGACCAAAATGTTTTAATTGGATTAAAATGTATGTTTATATGTGATGAGACCTAAAACCCTCAACTAAAACCATTATTAAGTTGATAAGCGAGAGATGCTTTGAATATCTCTTCGTGACCTTCCACCGTGGTGGGCTCCAATCGTTTGTGACTCATGCACCGGCTTCACCCTATAATGGGGAAGTACAA